AAACAAAATGACAACTAATGAGTATCTACTGTGTGTGACTATTTGGCACGTCTGCATACTGGTCTCTTTCATCTTTCCAGTCATTCACAGGCAAGTGTCTATACCCTGTGTTTCACAGGTGGAAGCAGGGTATGCAATCCTAGCTAAGGCATCCAAGGGTTTGCTCTTTCTGCTCCCCTATAAATGGTTAGGTGGTTTCCCCCACTCCTGTTTATACCCATTTGGAGCCTCAAAGTATGGCACTTTGGAAACAGGGTCATTGCAAAAATGATAACGAAGGTGATGAGACTGGGTCAGAGTCTGATAATATCTTGAATATGAAATGTCCCCCACAGGCTTAGGATTTGGAAAGTCTTGGCGGCAGTATTTGGAGGAGGTTCTGAGAACTCAGGGGATGAGGTCAATCTAGAGGAAGTAGGTGCTTGGGATTCATCATTCCTGGGTGCTCCCATTTTGCCCCGAGTGCTCTGTTTTGCCCCCTAAGTGATCCCATTTTGCCCCCTGCCTCTTGGCCCACCACAATATTAACTGAACTCTCCACCACAGCTTCCCCACCATGAAGGACCCTCTAAAGCCATGGGCCAAATGGTCACAATGACATGAATGGTCAAAAATACCCTAAATCTGGTGAGTGTGGCCTTGGAAGAAGGCACAGTTAGTAGAGAAGAGAAAGCCATGTGAAGACCGGCTGGTGCAGCCACCTGCCAAGGGTCATATGGAGCCACCAGACGATAGATAAGAGCACAACCCGCCCCTCTTGGAACCCATGGGCGGGGTGGTGATGGTGGCCTTGCCAACGCTTTGATTTCAGACTTCTGGTCTCCTGAGCTGGGACATCTGTTTTTAGTAACTGTTACAAAACCCCAACAGAGTCAATACACGCTTTGATCTCTCATTCAAGTAAGAGCAGTTCCATGAGTGACAGAAGGAGGAGAGTTGGGGAGGGGAGGCAATTCGTCATTCATTTGCAAGAGGCAGAAGGATCTAGGATGGGAAATAGGCTGAACAGTCGGACTTGCAGCCCCATAACCAGTCTCTTTCTCAGGGAACCCGGGGAAGGCCCAGGCACATTAGCAGCCATTCTCTGGTTTGTTACTGAAGTCTGTGTGAGGCAGAGCCTGTGGAGAGCAGAGGACCACTTTCAGAGGTCAGCTCTTTCCTTCCACCATGCGGGAATCGAACCCAGGCCATCAGTGTTGGTGCTAAGCACCTTTACCCACTGAGACATCTGGCTGGTGCCAAACTGCTTCTCTACAGCTCCGCTTATGCAGTGACCAACCTTCTCCCACAGCAAGTGAAACCCAGTCTGTCTGTCTGTCTGCGTGGCAAGATGAGAGAGCAGTACCAACAGAGAGGAGGTGAATCCCGCACTGTGGAGGAGCTGTGCCACCTGCCACCGGGTCTGAATCACTGGGGACGCCACAGACAGAGGCACAAGACAAGTCAAGTAGATCGCTGTGGGGTCTCAGTGCTCAAGTGTGGGGGTTACTGTGAAGCCCACGGGGGCTGTACTTCAAAGGCTCTGAAACCATCACCCTGAATGGAAGGGACTCCTAGCCAAGTGCCCTGCAAGTTTTCTCAGACCAGGAGACCTGTGTGCAGCCCCGAGAGCGTGGATTTCACCACAGCGATGTCAGGATGGAAGCAGGTGGTAGGTAGGCTCCCTAACACCATCAGCCCCACAACTTCCCTAGACGTCCAGTCCAGGGACCAAGGTGGTTCTCCTGGGCTCCGTGACAACTGAAAAACAACAGAATATAAATTCAGAGACGAGCTGTCTCCTACCCCAACGACAAAGTAACTTGAGTGATTTAGTGCCAGAGTATTCTTTTCTCCACAATGGCGCCCTGAGTTGCCAGGAATAGTACATCCACTAAAATTAATGGGCAGAGCTCATTTTTCTTATTTCGCAAGGAGAGACGTTCCATTGGTGGGGTAATGGATGCTGATCTGGACTTGCCAGCGAGCCAGCTGGGGGATCAATCACCCACATGCAACAGCTCACAGCCCTTTAAACCAACACCAGCTATGACAAATGGAGCTGGCCAGGGACAGGCGGAAAGGAATGCAGACAGAAGATCCATCAACATCCTTGTGACGGCTCACGGGTCCCAGGAGCCTAGAATCCTTCTTGGTCTCCTACAATAGAGCTATTTTTCAGCAGGGCTGAACTGAAAGGCCAGGGATATCTCAGGGAAGACATGGACGCTAGGCACACAAGGTCAACAGCCCCAGATCTGTCATTTCAAGTGCTACTGCCCTGGGCAACCTCCCACTTCTGCCCTTTTATGCTGCTGGCCTGGCAGAGTTGATGGTCAATATTTCAACAAACTCAACATACATTGAGAGGATCCATGGATGGATAGACAAGTGTGTGGGTGGGTGGGTGGATGGACGGGTGGATGGATGGATGCATAGATGGATAGGTGGGTGTGTGGGTGGATAGGTAGATGAAGTATGGGTGGATGGGTGGGTAGGGGGATGGGTAGGTTGATAGGGGGATGGGTGGATGAAGGATGTGTTGATGAATGGGTGGGTGGATAGATGAACGAACACTTGAATTATGGAGTTAGGAAATCACCTTTCTTCCTGCCACAGAGCTGCCAGGGGCTCAAAGGCTAAGGATATACTGGCAAACTGGGGACAGACACTCTTAGCAAGAGGCTGTGTGTGCTGATTTTAATCAGAAATATCCCTTCAGGCTCATGTTTTGAGTTCCTGGATCCACCCAGCTTGTGACCCTACTTTGAAGGTTGTAGAGCCTTTAGGTCATGAGCCCTGGCGGGCTGCAGTAGATCACTGTGGGTGGCTTATGAAGGTTAAACCCTTCCTTGATTCAGGTATGTTCTTCCCAACCCTGGTGTGCACAGTGTGAACAGATGATGTCACCAACCTCTGCTGTCACACAGTGGGTATGGCTCATACCCTGTGCCTTCCCAGCCATGAGGGCTGAGAACTCTGGAAACCTGAGCCAAGATGAGGCTGTCTCTGTGGGGTGTGTCAATCACAGAGTCACGGAGACAGAAGTAACCAATACAGATCTCCAAGTTAACCTGTCCATGGGAGCCTTGCTCACCCCAGAAGCCCTGAAGAAACTGTGGGATATGCTAGATGTCTTTGCCACAGCAGCTGAGCAGGGGTGACACCTGCAATCCTGGGATGAGATCCGGTGGCCTTCTCTCACACGTGTGCACCCAGGATTGTGATCAACACAACCACCATTTAGGGTGTGTTCCAAACCCAGGGGTAACTGTCCTCACATGTACAGAGGGACAGGTGAGGCCTCCACCCTCAGGCAAAAAGATCTGTGGAAATGGAGGCACAGACTCAAGCTTTGCTGCCGGCTGCCGTTGGCCAGGACCTGCAGCCACCAGGAGGCAGGGACAGCAGGGAACGGGGGTCTTCATAGTGAGTGTGGCCCGGCGTACTCCATTTCAGACTCCAGTCTCCACCCACAACATTTGAGAACTCAGTCTGTGATGTCAACCACATCCAGCCTGCCAGTCACGTGTTATGATACCCACAGTGGGCATATCTCAAGGTTGCTCTGAGAAGTTCCAACAGCGACATCTGTCTAATTTTTTTTCTGCACATCACACTAGGGATGGAGGCACAGAGGGGAGAATGCAAAAGAGGGGAAGAGAGGACTTGGGAGCAGGGAGACAGGGCAGAGGAAAGAAAAGCTGCCGTTTCACAGACTAGAGTGCCAGCATGGGCAGCTAACAAAGACATCACAGGAGATGGTCTTTGGGGTGTCTTTCCTCCCAGCCAGAGCTGAGGGAGACAGGCTATGACACAGGAATGGGCTGCTAATGAACCCTGCTTGTCAACCAGAGGAAAGCCTTTCTCCCCCTGGGGTGGGAGCGGAAACTCCAGTCAGGGGCCTGGACTTGTCTGGGGACCCTCAGCCTTTGTATGGCACCTAGCCTGTCACCACATAGGCAGCTGGCCTGTCAAGGGTAGAGCTGACAGCTCGACTCTGGCTGTGGAAGACGGTGGCTTGGGAAACTCATTTGCAGCGGAGGACAGTGGTAAGCCCTGTCACGGGGAAATGACCTCACTTTGGGGACCTTAGCCGCAGTGTTAGTGTAGGCTCACTTGCTGGAAGGCTGAGTGACAGTGGGCAAAGGGGGGAGGGTGCTGCCTCCCCCTTGCAAAGTAAGATCCCTGAAGCCTTCAATATGCCTGTTTCCAAGACTGATGCTGTCATGTGCCCTGTGATCCCCACAGGGAACTGTTCTTAGGACAATACATCAAAAGATGGAGAAAATTCCCACAAGGCAAAAAACAAATTAAAAAATGTGCTTGGTCCATTCCACGGATAAAAAGAGACCTAATGACTAATAGGGTGACTGGATATACAGACCCATATAACCTCAGGAGAGTAGCTGTCCCTTCACTGAGCCTTATTTTGGCGTGATGGGGAGTACAGGGCCTCAGTTTCCCCATCCTCACAGGGGACATAGAATTCCCACAGGAAGCAGTTCCGTCAGAATGGGCACACTGTGCTTGCTCAGACCGGGATTTTCTAGACGCCTCTTCCACCTTCCAATTTGTCCTCTGCTCCAAGCCCAGGAATGAACCCACACTTACCACAAGTGGCAGCTGAAGCCTCAGTTTCCCCACTCTACGTGCTACAGTTACTGTGAGCATTCCACACTGAGACGGGTGCTGAGACACCAGGAAAGACAGACATTAAATACATAGTCTTTCCCTCTATGTTGCCTGAGGCCACCCTGTCCTTGGCATTCCCTATATGAGGGAGAGAACACCGTCCTGGGTCTAGATGCTTAGAGAAGGCCATTGGTTGGCTTTGGGTACACCTCAAGAGTTTGCAACCAATGTCAGGGTTGTTGTCTCTCAGTCCACGTCTTGTTTCTCCTTTCTTGGTAGCCTACCCCAAAAAGCCCGTCAAGAAGGCATCCCTACCCAGAAAAATGAAGCTTCCACTCCAGCCCAAATGCTCAACTGCACCATAACCCATGAGGGCTGGGGCTTACCAGCTCCATGCAGCGCCGGCTGGCCTCCTCCTCCCGTTGCACCAACTCCTGCATCTCTGCCTTTAGCTCCTCCAGGCGCCGCTGATAATACTGGCTGTTTTCCCGCTGCTGGGCCTCCGACTTGGCTGCCTGGGACAGCTCCTCGCCCATCTTGATCAGGCTGTTCCGAAGCCGGATTACCAGGACCTGGGGAGGGCAGAAAGCAATGTGGGTCTCCCCTGGAGAAACCAGAGGTCCAAAGCAAGCTCTCTAAAAAGCGGATCCTTCACCGGGCCTCTGCATGCCTGTGCCAAGTGATTCAGGTGAAGAGTTATGGTTCCCATTTGGGCAGCCAATCCTGAGGGCATAAGAGCAGGAGAGCTGACCCTGCCCCCCTTCAAATGCCTCCTACAGACGACATTGAACCTTGCCTGGGCAAAACAGTAGAGCTGGCCCTGGAGACATGAGTGAGAGGGGCCTGGATCTGAGGGAGAACTGGCCCAGCTCCTTGCTGTAGGCTGTGTTGGGTGAGCTAGCCTAGGCAGTGCTGGAGAGCTCATGTGGGTAGTGATGATGAGGGAAATCTAGAAATCTGGCCAACCCAGCTACCTCCCAGGCCCAGAAACCAGGGCTATGAGTTGGCCTGCCCAAACATCCACTGAGTCTATGAACTGCTGGAGCACGTGAAGGGGTCAAACCCACAGATCCAAAACAGTAGGACTCCCAAGACACAGGACAATGACAGCATGTCCTAGAGGAGCCCCAGTGAGAGCCCATTAATGCTGGTGTGGCAGAACCAGAGGCCTCAAGCCAGATGAATGACTTGTAGCAAGGAGCACTTTTAAGTAGAGATGAGCAGACTAAAGGGTGAACTGTGTATCTTAACGGGCCATGCTACAGCGTCCACAAGGTTCTTCTTTGTTTTTGTTTTGCTTGGATTTTCTTTTAAATTTGGTTTTGTTTGTTGGGGGGAGATTTCAAGGACAGAGGGTGGATTCGAGGGGACAGGGAGGTGATAAATGTGAACAGAATGCATGATATGAAATCCACAAAGAATCATAAAAGTAAAAAAAAATGAAAAATTGTGGTTTCTTAGTCTTCCTCAAGGAAGAACACTGACTGGGTTATCTGATATCAAATGGTCAGCCCTGAAAACACACATAAAAGTAATATTACATAGATCAAGCAGGTTATATTTAGGAACATATGTGTACATACACACATACATACATACATGTAACAACAATTAATGAAAAAAAGAGGCCATAAATTTGAAGGGAGAAAGGAGGGAGAGATGGAAGAGCTTGGAGAGAGGAAAGGGAAGGGGAAATCATGTGATCATATAATAATCTCAAAAATAAAAGAAAAAATGAAAAAAGACTCCAAGTTGAAACAACATAAATTAAAAAAAAGAATTATGATTTCTGCCCCCCAAAATAAGAATTCATTTTGAAATAAGAGCTACTCTGAGAGACTATGGGACGAACACATGGAGAATCTGCCTCCAAGAGGCTCTGAGTTCAAATCCTGCCTCTGCCTCTTCCTGCTGTAAGACCCTGGGTAGGTGATTGGGCCTGTGGAGTGGGGGTGATGTGTCTGTGTCCTAGGGAACTGCCAGGATCTAACATGCTTAGTTAGGCATTTGGCACCAACAGGGCTGCAGAAGGGATGACTGATAATCCCTGTCCCCACACCTCCCAAAGTCAAGGAGGGACATCAGAGAGAGAGAGAGAGAGAGAGAGAGAGAGAGAGAGAGAGAGAGAGAGAGAGAGAGAGAGAGAGAGAGAGTGTGCTGGATTAACACTCCACTCAATCAAACTTTTGGCCTCTGGGTTTATGAATGGGAGCCTTGGATGAGATCACCCTCAGTGCTCTGCCTTTCCCAGGGACAGAAACCCACCAGACATAATGAAGGGATGAAGACAAAAGCACTTTGTATGCTAGGAAAACCCTCAGGACTATCTGAATTCATTAGGCAGCCAACAAGCCTGGAACCCATTGATCTGTGGGATCCAGGTGGCAAGCAGCAGAGTGTTGATGTAGGCAAGGGTCATGTGACCATTGCCATGTGACTTTTTCAAGTCTTGCTGGGAACTCTGGGAGCCATGGTTGGAGGAGATGGACTCAGGGTCTCACACCATCACCCAAAGAAGTACTGCCCCATTAGGCTCCATTTTAGAGACTGTCAGGGTGCGAGGGCTGGGGGGAGAAAGAGGAGTCATGACAGTGTCTCCAATGACCCATGACAGCAGAGACAGGGGTTCTTCTATTTAGATAATGGTGACAGAGGGGAAACGTGAATACAAGGCTGGGATCTTTCAGGTTTCTCTTTCCCTGCTACCGGTTGTTTATGCTAGAACTAAATAAGAGCTCCGTAGAGCCGGCACGATGTAGGCAACCATGCAGTACAATACTCAGCATCTCCAGGGGTCTGGAGGGCTCCTGCCTGAGTTGTCCCTAAAACTACTTGGAAAATCTATGAAGGTCAAAGTCAACAAGAATTTCTTCTGTTTATCCACAGAAGCTATATCAAAGACCATGTGCCCTGGGGTTGGGGGAGTTTCAGAATGAGGAACATGGCCTTTCATATCCAAACACTCGGTAGTGAAGGAGTGAGGGCTGAAGACAAATTATAACAAAGGCTCTGAGGGGAGGGTTAGGACAGGCATCAATGGGCTCCTGTCTGACCCCCAGCTTGCCTCCTGGGGGCCACGTTCTCATTCTAATGGCGAGGCCTGTCCTCACTCCCCCCACCCTGCTCAGCGTTACTGAATGTCAAGAGCAGAGTGGTATGGGAGAGGGTTTCAACAATGGGGGTGAACACACACTGAAAGTATCAGCTCAAGATTGATGTCTATGTCCTCGACAAACCCACCAGGGTTTTGCTATACTGCAGACCTCATCCTGGAAGGCAGCTGGGCTCTCCATGCTGGAAGGTTCCATCTGTACAGTCATGGCCTTATTCTATTTGTACTCATATGTCTGTCCTGTACATACCAAGATGCAGCTTCACAGATGGGTGTGAGAGAAATTGCCCACAAATGATGCTTAGTATGTGAGTAGATAGGCAGAGATCAGAAGAATGGTACCCGTGGATTCAAGGGTGGGAAGTAGAGCCTAAGGCTGAAGAAGGGAAGAGGGGGGAGGGGGAGAGAAGGGAAGGGGGAGATAGAAGAGGGGGATGATGAGAGTCAGGGTGAAAACAGGCTGAAAGAGGGAGGAATGCGCTGAATGGTGACAGGAGCAGACAGAGGAGAAGGAGGAGGAGGAGGGGGAGGAGGAGGGGGAGAAGGAGGAGGGGGAGGAGGAGGGGGAGGAGGAGGAAGGGGAGGAGGAGGACGGGTGCATGTGTGGGTCCAGGAAATATGCAGAACAAAAGAAGAAAAGGGAAGGGGGATGAGTACAGATGGAGCGGTCAGATTCAAGCCAGGCATGCAAACCAAGTGATGTGTGGCAGAGGTGGGACTCACACAGCTCTCCCTGCCCCAGCCCCCAGCGGCCCATGAATCCTTGGTACCTCAAATCTCTTCATCTGCACCTTCTGGAACTCTGTCTTGTTCTCCAAGTCACAGATGACTGCCTCCTGCCTGCTGACAATGGCACGGTCCACGGTAGATTGCTCCAGGTACTGGATGCGAAGCTGAGTCACCTGCAGCTGGGGCGCATTGAGGAGTCTACTGGCACCGTCGGCCCTGAGTCCCGCCCCTGGCCCCAGTTCTCTGCTCAACTGCCACACGCTGACAATCCGCACAGGCCAGCACTGCCAACCCTCGTGCTAGCCCTGACCCAGAGCAGCAGGTGCTGAGAGGTGACACGTCCTGAGCCATTTGGGTACAAAGCATTGTTCTCTTTCCCTGCTATGATAAAGGGCCAAGCTGGCTACGGAGAAACTCCTGCATCTGAAGACATAGCAAGGGAGGCTGGGAGACACGCTGACTGCCTGCTTTTTGTTTATGTGAACCTGGGCATGCCATTTCCTGCTTGAGCTTCCGTTTCTCCATTTTCAGCATGAGACCGACAGCCATCTTTGTTCTGCTTGTTGAGGCTCGGGGCCCATGTGTGATGGGACCTGGCCGATCTGACAGGCATGTGCATGAGCTCTAGCAGGGCTTTGAGAAGTTTGTGGGTAAAAAAGCCCAGCTAGGCACTAAGGCTTAGAGGGCTCGGGGATCCGATGGAAGAGCTCCCAAAGGGTTGTGGGCCTGCCTCACAGGCATTCTCTCTTCTTAGGACCGGTTTCTCAGATGGGGAGAGAAGAGGTAGGGAGGCAGCACTGAGTGCTACATGGGCCATCTGTGTGCGGAGCAGGGACGGGCAACTGTAATGAGAGTGTGTGGATCCTTCTGCCCGTCCACTAGGACTCTCTCCCTTCACTTGGCACATGACTGAGGCTGAGCAAATGATTGGGTGGCGATCCCAAGGGCTCAGGAGGAACCTCCCTGTCCCAGAGCACGGTGGCTCTGAGCACATACCTGCTCCCGCAGCTTCTGCTTCTCCTTCTTGGCTTCTTCCAGCTGCAGCTGCAGCTCCTGAATTTGCCCAATGTCAGCAGCAGACTGGTGAGGCAGAAAACAAGATGAAGAGGCCCTTTCGAGAACCACTTCTTCCCTGACCCTCAGATCCCTGAATCTGAACTTCCGTCCTTAAAAGTTGCCTCTTACTCCTTCCCAACACCCCATCTCTGTTTGCTGAGTCATAGTTTTCCAACTCGTGTCTCTGTTTGCTGAGTCACAGCTTCCCAACACCCCATCTCTGCTGAGTCATTCCACGACATCAGCCCAGGGATTCAGTGACTGTTGAGTTCTTGATGACACATGCTGGAGAACCCAGAACAAACAGTGCTGCCCATGGTGCCAGTGCAACATTCCAAGAGTGGCATTGGGGTTTGACCATGAATCTGGGTGGAGCGGGAGCTGCTTGTCAGGACTCTGCCTTTAATCCACCATGGATCTCAAATTTGAATAAACAGTTGGTGGAACTGTGGAAGGGGCAGTTTAGTTGGACGAAGTAGGTAACTTGGGTCACAGGTCATAGGGGTGTGCCCTATCTAGGGTCCTTCCTGCTGAAGTTCTGCTGCTTCCTGTGAGCCATAAGTCGCACACTCTTGCTACAGTGATGCCCTTCCCCAGTACCTGGGGTCAAACAACCAGGCATCGAACTCTCGAAGTCATGAACCCAGGTAATCCTGCCCCTCAGTGACTTCTGTCCAGTCAGGGCAATGATGAAACTGTGAGTGTCAGGGAACTGAGACCCTACCCTTGGACACCAGCCAGAGGGACCCAGGGATTCTCTGCTTTTTGGCCTCCCCATCTAACAATGAGCTGAGTGTCTGCGTGCCCCCCCTATTGGTTAGTTCCAAGGCCAGATAGAGACGGAAGTCAAGACCCCTGTAGGATATGGAATCAACAGCTAAGCTTGGCAGTCTCTGAGGTGCGAGGTTCCTAAGGATGTGGTGGCCTCTTGTTCCTGCTCCGCCATCACAGAACATGCATGTTCCCTACTTGTGACTGAACAGAACAATTTCCACATCAGACAAAATTAACCACAACTCAGGCACGGACTCTCTATGGTAGTGGCTGTAACCCTGGGGGTTCCGTTCTTTATTTGGGTTACACCTCTTTGTCTTGCAGACATGCCTGGTATCGGCCTTTGGAGGCAAGAGAGCTTGGACCACCTCTGGGGATGAGTGTGAGTGTGAGATGATACCCCATGCTCCTGGGTTATGCTCAGAAGCCTGCTGGGAGCCTCGATCTATCCCGCACTCCAGTCAAAGCGACCATTCTTCCCAGCCACCTTGTCTCCTCACTGCCCAGGTCCACATCCCATCCCTCATCTTCCCTCCACTTTGCCTGACACCGTGGCTTTGAGTGCCCACCCCCACGCTGCAGCTCCTTGTCCTGTAGGACAAGGGAGAGGACATCTTTGCAATAGCAGAGGTGACAGGGTCAGGTAGCATGCTGGCGGTACCTCTCCCGCTCTGCTCCCACAACACTTGGCAGCGCTCCCCACCACCCCTCAAACAAAGGCATCTGGGATCCTAGTCTGTCTTTCCTCTCTGGCCTCCCTGAGTGCGTTCCCCTCACCTGCCTCCCTTCATCCCCACCAGTGCCCCGCAGACACCTCCTACGCACACCTGTTGCCCTCCTTCCAGATCCCATGGTTCCATTGCAAACTCATTAAGTCCTGATCCTCATTCAGGTTTCCACCTGGCACCTCCTCCTCAGGGAAGCGTTCCCTAATTTCAGTCCTTTTCTGGACTCTCAGTTCAGTTTGCTAGCCTGCCTCCCACCACATGCTGCTCCTGGTAGCTTCGTGGCAGCATCTGTCTAGCTCACAAAGCCACAAACAGGAGAGGGAATCAGAGAGGTCCCTTTGCTTACCAAAGTGTCCTTGAAATTGTTTACAGTGCCTGATACACAGCAAGTCCTCAGTAAACAGCTAGACAGACAGACTGGATGGTGTCTAGACTGATGGATATAGTGAATAGATAGCAGATAGGTCTGTGGATGGGTGAGTGGGCACACGGGAAGGCAGACTGTAGTAGTTTGAATACGAATGGTCCCCCATAGGCTCCCATATTTGAATGCTTACTCATCAGGGTGTGTCACACCGCCGCCCCCTGCGCAACCCCCCCCCACACGGTGTGGTGAGTGCCTGAGTGCCTGCAGATTAAGATGTAGTTCTCAGCTACTGCTCCAGCTCCATGTGTGCTGCCACACTGCCTCGCCCCGCCCCCTGCCATGATGGTAATGGATTAAGCCTCTGAAACTGTAAGCCAGCCCCAGTTAAATGTTTCCGTTGTAATAGTTGCGGTGATCATGGTGCTTCCTCACACCGATGGACCAGAGACTAAGACACAGCTGAGTGGATGGCTTGGTGGGCAGATGCGTGTGTGGTGGATGTGTGTGTGGACAGGGAGGCAGCTGTATGAATAAGTCAATGTCGCCTGGTGCAGCTGCCCCCCAGAGGACAAACCATCTTTCCCCAGGGCTGCATGGAACTGACGGTTCCTGCCTACCTCTGGGCTGCTAAATCGACCACATTCACAAGGTGGGAGAGGGTCCTGACCTGTGCGATGAGGTCTTTGTGTTTCTGCATGAGGCCATTCAGGTCGTCCTGGTCCTCATCGATGCGTTTCAGGAGGTCTGCCCTCTCAAACTGCAGCCTGTACAGCTGCTCATCCACCTGCAGGGAGGCAGAGGGCAACCCAGTGAGGGCGTGTGCACTAGTGCATGCTGGATGTTCGTGTGCACTAGTGCATGCTGGATGTTCAGGTAGGTGTGGATGCAGCACGTGTGAAGGTTTCTGTGCCTGTGCGACCTCTAGACACCCATGCATGCATGTTTAAAGATCCAAAGCACACCTGAATTGTCCCTGAGAACAGGGACTTTGTCCTACACATAGGCATATCCCCAGCACAAAGCATCCAACAGGTGCTAAATAAATGTCTATTGTGTGGGTGGATGAATTTGATCAGGGGTTTTCCCTCCGAAGGCATTTCTTTTGCATGTATATTTGATGATTTGATGTGTATATATGTGCGTATTATGCTTGTATGTATGTATGTAGGCATAGCCTGTGTGTGCTTGTACATGTGTAGGTGTGCCCTGGTTAGTTTTTTTTAATCAACTGAACACAACTTAGAGTCATTTGAGAAGAGGGAACCTTAGTTGAGAAAATGCATATATGTATGTTTGTGTATATATTAGGGCATTTTCCTGATTAATGATTAATGTGGGAGGCCCCAACCCATAGTGAGTGGTCCTGGGTTCTATAAGAAAGCAGGCAAAGCAAGCCATGGGGAGCAAGCCAGGAGGCAGCACCCCTTTATGGCCTCTGCATCAGCTCCCATCTTAGGTTCCTGATCTGACTTCCGTCAGTGATGAAATTCAAGCAGTAATAAGAAATAAACCCTTCCCTTCCCAAGTTTCTTTAGGCCATGATGGTCTGCCACAGCAATAGAAACTCTAAGTATGATTAACAGAGATAGAAACTATACTGTGGGGTTATTTTCATGATGGACCTGACGACATGCATTTGGAAGGGCTGTGGTGGTGTTTGAAGTTTGGGCTGTGAAAGCCATTGGGTGTTTAGAGCCTGATGGAGTGTTGTGTGGGATCCTGGAGGAGAAGAGCATTGAGAACAGTGCAGATAATGGTGACCTAACTAATGGAGGACAGAAGCAGGTTCCTGCCTTGAGTTCTTGCCCTGTCTTTCCCCAGTAGTGGGGTGTGATGCGAGTGTGTGTCTTGAAATAAACCCTTCCCTTCCCAAGTTGCTTTTGGTTATGGCGTTCATCGCAGCAATAGGAACCATAAGACGGTGTGTGCGTACATTTGTGTGCTTCTGGACATGTTTCCCTCAATTTAGAAAAAAATGAGATACAGGAGAAAGGGGCTCCTTAGGACCTCGCATGAGCCTGAGTTGGTTCCTCTCCATCTCTATGCCAACTATAGAATTCTGTATATCGAGTACAAATTTAAGCCAAGTTTGATCATCCAGGCCCCAGGTATTGTTACCAACATGATAGACGTATGATTCATCTGTCCTCCTTCAATGGTGACAACACAATAACACTGTAATGACTAGCAGAGTCTTCTGGTTGCAGGGAGCCGAAGTGAGCCTGTGAGACACATGATTTTCTCCTAGAGAAGGTGGCCTCAGCAGTCTGGTGGCAAATACCAAGAGTTCTCATTGTGGTAAGAACACAGTAAGGCTGTGAGAAGTTTCTGGGAATCATATAAGCTGTGAGCACACAAATCAGCTGTGAGGACACATGATCAATTGTGTTCATTGTTGTAGGTGCAAACTCATGCTACTGGGCACACAGTAGGTCCACAACATGTTTCCTTGCTTGCCTGTATAAATGGGATCTTGTGTCTGCATGTGCGTGTGCATGTGTGCATGTGTGTGTGCATGTGTGTGTGTGTGTGTGTGTATTCTGTTGAACTCAGTATCAAGCACCCAGTAGGACCATAATAAATTCCCTTTGCTTCCTAGGGAGCTGAGCATTCAGTAGGTCCACTATGAGTTCCCTATCCTTATAGAGCTGAGGACCCAGAAAGAAGATCTACAACAGAAGCGCATACCCCCCAGGTGATTCAGGGGAGGTCTCAAGGGATGCCGCATAGATCCATCATAAGTGTCTTAGTCCTACACAAGGCTATGTCCCCAGCAGGCCGACGCCAGCTACTGAGCCTGCTCTCTGGGGCTGTGGGAGATACAGTACCAGGCTCTTGCTCCGGGTCACATTCTCCAGCTCACTGTGCATGTTCTCCAAGTCCGTAGTCAGCACCTTCTGGGTCTTCAAGGCATCCTCACATTTGGCCTCACTCTGCTCCAGCTGGACAGGAACAGGAGTAGAAAGAAGGGAGGAAGTCACTTCTCTAACACCCTTCCTCCCTATCAGCCCTGCCCAGCCCTAGCTGGCTATCCTGGCGCCTTCACACCTGTCTGTCAACACACACTGTGTGAGCAGGGAGTATCTGTGCTCCAGGCAGCCTGGGTCTGAGCTGACTTCAGTGCCGGCGCTGTGCTGTGACAGAGCTCTGCACCCTGCTGCAAGAGGGGGCTTCTCCTTAGTCTGCATGGGAGGTCTTCCTGTGTTTGCCTTTGCCCCAATCTCAAAGGCTCAACCAGTAGCTTCCCATTCTCTGCATTCTCGTCTATTGTAGCCTACAATTACCCAAGCATGTGCCTCCGGCCCCCCAGGAGTGACCAGTCCCATTGAGAAGACCCTATCAGCCCACAAACCCTATGTCCAGAGTGCAACTGACAGCTCCCCTATGACCCCCAGAATTAGAATCTCCCTACAGCAAAACACCACTAAGGACTCAGACTGGGGAAGCCCCATACCCAAAGCTACACAGTTGCAAAAAAAAAAAAAAAAAAAAAAAAAAAAAAACAGAGGCAATCCCAGAATTCCCCAGACACACATACTTTCACATCAGAAGCCACCATCTCCTGAAGGCTAAGGATATTTTCATGGAGTCACACATCTGTAACCCAGCATTAGGGAGGCTGAGTCAGGAGGAGGACTTGTGAGTTTCGGACCCACCCGCCCTGTCTCAAGAAACAACACAGTTAAACAGAAGAGCTTTGGTCGGCTAGGGAAAGCGACCAGGGTCCTGTTGAAGAGGCCACTGCGTGAGCAAGCAACAAGCTGGCTGTGTAAGAAAGGCCTCGTGTCCAGGCAGAGGCTGTGCACCACCCCCAAACAGACAAAGAACAGCTCTAATGTCAAAGTGCCCCGCCCATATGTCACTGTGGCCGTGACAATAACGGAACAGTATAGGTCATGGGCATTGGCAAGGGGCTGTCCACAGAAGAGATGAGACTTCAGGCCGAGATAGATACGCCAAGGTGGAAACCCCAGGCCTCTGGTGAGGCAGGGAGGCTAAAGAGAGGCTCTCCACAGAGGCAGGGAGCAAAACTCGAGTCAGGGCCTCAATAGGAATAAATCTGTCTTAACACAACCAGGGAAGAGGTGCAACAGCCCTGTGGTAAAGCAAGGGAGCAGCAGAGTGTAACCAGACAGCTGCTCCTCCAGGGGCACGAGGGGATGAGGCTGAGGATGTGCCCAGGGGTCAAGGCGGTGAAGCAGGGAGCCGGCCACGGGCTTGGATTCTATTCCAGGCTGTTGGAGCTTCTCAGGAGTGAGTGGTGTGACTGCTCCCTGGCTGATACGGGGAAGAACGGGCAACAGGGGGACCATGATGAGCGATGAGGACACAGTGCAGTCCCGCCTGGAAGGGGACATGGAGGAGCTCCAGCAGGCGGGGAGGGTTGGACTTGGAGAGAAACAGAAGGAGCCACAACTGCGGGGGCTGCTTCTCTTGCACAGTGCTGGGGAAGGACCCCAGGGCCCTACATGCACCCCGCCAATGCTCACCACCAAGCTGCATCCCCAGCCCCTGATGTGGGGATTTTAAATCCTGTTTTAGAGTTAAAGAGCATGAGTCAGCCCCCGCCCCACCCCCCCACACCCCAAACAGGACAAATGCAACTTATTTTAAGGAGGCATTCGAGGTTCAAGGTCGTCGGCACAAGTGTGGTGGGTGGGTGGTCCCAGAGGTGTTCAGGGAGGTGGGTTTAGATTCTACCCCCACTCTGCATGGACTGAGCAGAAGTTTCATAGCCTGTGGCCCCTGACAGGCAGCTGGGACTTCAGGCACTGTAGAGTCTCATTTCGGGATCTTAAAGGTCCCAATTATTATACTTCAGGAAACAGAAAGAAATCCAGGCCACAGGTCTACTTCCCACTATGGATAACCCATGGCAAGAATCACTCAGTGGTACTTGCACACCGAGCATGAAGTCATTTATACGTTACAGAAGGGACAAGCTCAGATCATCCCGTCATGGTGATACAGGCCGAAGTCAGCTCCGTAAACACCTTTCCCTGTGATTGCCACCATGGCAGTCAGAGAGCAGGGACCACTAAGGTGGCTAGTGGGTCACTAACAGGCTGTTTTATGCCCCTAAAGGCCAGCTTGTCATGCAGGGTACACAGTAAGGGCTGCATCTTCAGCTGTGAGTCACTGCCTGCCCCCTCCACGTACAAGGCCTTGTGTGTTCAAATCAACCATTCACAGTGGGGCAGAGGAGCCAGGGTCAGCTCAAGTCCAGCCCTTTCCCCCTCTTAGCCTCCTGTGGGCTAGGCCACAGCTGACCTCACCAACACAGTGCTCTTGGTATTTGTTGAAGGCTGTCAAGGCTCAGGGTATCTTCTACATTGTCTTTTTTATTAAACAGTGTAAATGTGGTTCTCAAATGTCCTCCATAGCTAGAACATTCTTCATCCCAGCACATTCTGCCAGCCCACAGTTTGCTGAGGAAGTCACTCCAATCTTCAGAGATCTGTTCCAGCCCTGGAGGCTGGGCACCATAGGACCCTGGAACTGTGCTTCTGTTTAGTGGGTCTGTGTCCAACCCCAGCTCATCCCTGACTTTCTGGAGCCTCTAGATATGAAAACCACCAGACATCATGGGGTGAGACATTTCTTCAATATGGCCGCCCCATCTACCCTGAGGTGGGCTTGGACATCACATGATGGCTAGGAACAACTTAGAGGGAGGACACGATGGGCTTCCAGTGTTCCTGTGATTGTGAGCAGACTTCCCAGAGTCTTTGAGCTTTGGTTTTTTTTCTAGCCACAGAACATGGGGTGGGGTGGTTCTGTGTATTGAGAAGGCCTACAGAGTACAGACAATGAGTTGTGTATTAGACAGGAACGGCACACACACAGGGCTTGAGGAAGAACTCTTACTCAGAGCCCTGCCCTGCTCTGAACACTTTCAAGTGTAGCCTGTCTAACCTCTACAGCAGCCATTCCCATCCTGTCTGGCTGAACGTGGAGGGCTTGGTGACTTGTACAGACACAGTAAATGACAGGATCTGAACTCAAGCCCGGTCTCCACCCATCTCTATAGACTGTGAGAAGTGTCTGGTTCCCAAACGTCCATGAGTTGTGATCAACTTGACTGCACACCCAGCTGGAGACAAACTAAGATCCTCCTAATATGAGCTGGCACTGAGGACATTGAGGTAAAAGGTGGCAAGAGACCTTCGTTGTGGTAGCACAAATGATTGAAATCAGGGCCCCCCACATGTCGGGCAAGCCCAGCCCGAGAGACACATTTAAATGGTGTAGTTGGAGCATCCAGATGCAGCAAGCTTGAAGACTGAGCCACAGATCTTCCCTACTTAGGCTGAGCTGAACGAGGTGGCTCAGAACCTGCAGACTGGCGAGTAAACAAACCATTGGTGCATGCCCATGCAGCATGGACTGGGAGAAAGTCACAAAACTGATGTATGAGTGTGTGTGTGTGTGTGAGTTATGTATGTGTGAATGTATGTGTGAGAGAGTGTGTGTGAATGTGTGTGATTCTGTAAATGTGTGTGTGACTGTATATGTAAGTATGAGTGTGTAAATGTGTTTGTTATTGTGTGAATGTGTATGTGTGTGAAAATGTGTGAGTGGGTGAATGTGTATATGTAACTGTGTGTAGGCATATGTGTACATGCAGTGGTGGAACAGACCCCCGTGGTGGGGGACCAGGCCTCCAGAACTCCAGGCTCCCTCTCTATACAGGAGGGAGAACGTTCTCCTTCCCATGGGGCTGGGGAGATGGAATTTCCACACCCCCTCTGGTCCTGTGTAACCACTGGATACTGCAGGTGACAGAAATCCATGACACAGCCCATCCTTACCCCATTGCAGTGGCAGGGGAAGAGGATGACACACGACTTGCCAAGGTCAGATTCAAGGCTCTAGACCCAAGTGCTCCTGGATCCCTCCGTACGCACCTGTACACAACCCTTGCTTGAAGATCTCTTCCCCATTGTCTCTGCCCTCACCAGAGACCTTCCACTGTCTCCCCCAACTATCCCTTTGGCCCCACTGCCTCCCAACTCCCCACTGTCTCTTTGTATCCCCACTCTGTCTGTTTCCGACTGTGACTCCAGCACCCATCACTAGCATTCAGGGATGGTGACTGAGGTCCCCATCACATACACATCAGCTGTAAGACACGGAATGGCTTTGCTTTCATACGAGGCGCCATCTGCCTGCTTTACATACTCGGGGAAATGTTTTCTTTGGACTTACATGGCTTCTAGACTAGTCAGCCAGACATATGGAGAGAGGTGGAATGGGAAAGCTGTATTTCTGAAGAGAGCTTAGATCCTAAATTTCTGGATTTGGTTGGACAACTTGAGGGATTTAAAAATGCAGAATTGAAAAAGCCACAGGGGGCATTTCACCTGCGTTTACAGGAGGAGACTGGGCACTTTCCAGGCTGGACACCTTCAGTGTGGAGGTTTTCTCCAGAGCGTGTCACCCACAATCCACACTGCAGACAGCCCCAACCACATGTAGCAAAAGCCGTCACTGCAAACCTATTAAAAATGTCCACTGAGGGCCAGGGAGATGGGTTCCCAGCATCCATGTTAGGTGGCTTACAACTAACTATTTGTAACTCCACATCCAGGGGCTCCAATGTCCTCTTCAGGTCTTTATGAACACCTACAGTCATGTTCACATACCACACACACACACACACACACACACACGCGCGCGCGCGCGCGTGTGTGTGTGTGTGTGTGTGTGTGTGTGTATATGTATAATTAAAAATAAATTTTAAAAAATGTCAACAGACTCCAGCCATGTCTATGCAACACAGCTGTAGACAATAGACCCAATAGACAAATTCCAAGACTGCATGGTAACAATCTTTGCTAATTGGACATTTACTAAATGCTTCAGAATTGTCCTGTTCTCCATGGAGACTATCATTCATTGTTGTGTTTAGAGTAGCATTTTCAATACTGATTACTGAGTC